GGCACGCTGACGTCGTCCATGAAGATGTGTCTCTGTGATGCTGTGATCGCGACGTATAAGTGGGTTCCGACATGAACTGGGAAAGCGAGAAGACCTCGGAAGAGACCAAGAAAAACACAGAACAGTTCTGAGCTACCGTCTTGTGAGGCCGCTTTTGCCATTCCCGACACGTATCCAATATTCTCGATTGTGGCGAAACCGAGAGCCGCCTTACAAGCAGAAGCCATGATGCCACGACAACCGACTTTTCCTCTCGTCCTGGCCACATACACATTCAAGACCCATGTACCGGCGAGCAATAAGCCATTTCCCAACTTCTTCAACTGTGACAGCTGTTACATAGGCGATCAACACCAGGGAGAGAATAATCGACCAAAGCGGAATCGACTGTACAAGCTGTTGAAATAACTGTTGAAGGGCTTTAGTGTTTCCTGCTTCCGCTGTCTCAATTACTTTTTGCAAATCGTCCTCTCCATCACCGCGAATGGCAAATACGATGGGGATCAAAGCGGCTACCGAGGTTATCATTTCAAGTCGGACAATAGGGATAGCGCCACCGCAATTCTGCCACTAAAATGCAAAGAAACCGAAACTAGAATTACAGTATTGCAGAATTCTGCAACTCAGCATGACCAAAGTTGCAGAAATCGGACCGTTTAGTGAAGCAGAAACTGAAAGCGTTTATCAATACGTGTAAATAAAAATGGCGCCAAACAGATGCTACCGTGTGAGACGTGGGCTTGCCGGAGCGCGGGCGGGTCGCGCGCGACAGGGTCGGAGGCGATGTAGAGGTACGGGCGGAAGCGCGACAGCGAGGTGGAGATGGCGTGGATGTGGCGGCGCGGGGTGGACTGCGGCGCGGGCAGGCACGGCGAGGGGAGGCTGTCCAGGTCGAACGGCGGGAGCTTGGGCACGGCGAGGGAGCCGCGGCGGAGGAGCGAGGGCTGGGGCAGCGGCGGGGGCTGGTTGAGCGCGTCGGGGAGGTGCGGGCACGACTTGGTGTTGGTGTCCTTGGGCGGCGGGGGCGGGGAGGGCGGCGGCAGGGGCGTCGGTGGAGGGGCATCGGCGGAGGGGAGGGGAGGGGGGATGAGAGGGAGATTGGGACGGAGGTTGGGAGGGAGGTTGGAGTCGGGGATGGTGATTGCGGTTGCGTTTGGCCCCGCGGGTGGAGGAGGCACATGCGGAAGATAGTACGAGGTTGGGGGCGCAAGGCTGTTGGCGGAGTCTATCTAGGAGCGGGGCTGTGAGTACTTGAGAAGGTCCTTGTAAACGAGGCGCGGGTGGAGTAGCATGCTTGTGAGGGCGCGGGTGTCGGGAGTAGCCAGGTAAGGGCGGGGGTGGCGCGGGGGGCTGGGAAGCGGAGGAAGGGGTTGGAGGCGGACGAGTGGGTTCGGTAAGCAGGGCGAAGGGGAATGCGGTGGGGAGTGTGGGCGGTGTCGTACTTTTAACTTTAAGGAAGGGGCAATGGGAGTGTGTGGGGGGCTAAGGGGCGGAAGCCGTCAGTGCGTTTTCTTGTGCTGTTTGAACGACTCCATCATAAGCTTGAATGTTTCAAGCTTCAGGTTGTTGGCCTCTTCTCGTTCTTTGCGCCGTTCCTCTCTATCCATCTCCAGCTGTTCTACGTCTCGCAAAGCACCCCTCTTCGAACTCTATGCGCGCCTCGTCGCTTTACAAGGACAAACCTCCGGAGTGGAGGTGTCTGGGCTGGGAGGGGCTTTGGTCGCCATGGCACAGTTGAGAATGCGAAGATGGTGCGGGCATCCGCGGCTCTTAAGAGTGAGTTAGAATGCGGTAGCATCCAGGCCTCGGCCGCCCTGGCCCTGCCGGCCTGCTTCCCGCTCATCCTGGCCTTCGTCGACCGCGCCCGCCGCACCGGCACCGCCGCCGTCATCCTGTGCACCCAGGGAATCTTGCGCAGCGTCACCGCCGCCCTCGCCTACGTCATGATCACGGACGACCTCCCGCTGGACGACGCCATGTGCGACATGCGCCTGTGCCGCCCCATCGCCGCCCCCAACCACGCTTCTACGCCCTGCTGCGCCGCCTCGAGAGCGGCCTCCGCCACAGCCCCCCAGCTGACGCCCTCGTCCTCGTCTACCCACACGCCCCCGCACACACCGAGCCCCCTACATCCCCGCTCCTCGTCGCACTCCCTGCCCGCGCCGCCCCGCCGCACCCCGCCGTCTCGCACGACTTCAACATCCTCCACCGCAGACTCCGCTAGGGCGTCGTCGTGAGGCACGCCCAGCCCCCGCCCGACTGCGACCTCGCGACCTCACTCCAGATCGCAGAGCACTTCGCCGCGCAGGAGTCCCGCGACCACCACTGCTTCGCCGGCCCCGAGCCGCACCCCGTACAAGTCGCCGCGAAGGGACACGAAACCGGGCTCGACGCAGAGATCGCAGCCTTCGCTAGGGACGCATGACACCCCCTACCCGGGCGTCTCACTTCTTTGCACCTCTGCGAAAGGCCGTGCTCGTGAACGCCTCCCCAACCGTCGTTCTTTTTCTTTTTTTCTGTCGTGCTCGCCAAGCGTGGTCCGACCGCTGCCCTGGCGACAGACTCCGGTGCGTGTCGGCTTGTCGCCTTCCGGTGCCGCTGCTGTCGACTCTCACGATCAAGTTCTCTGCTCACCACCCTATACACCAAATGAACAAGACAAGTGCGATGGCTCCGATAAGAAATTGTAGGAACACTAAAATAAGCATACGACACAGAATCAGCAGCTCAAATTGAGAGAGTCTGCGCACAACTAAACTCAACTTGAGATGAAGAGTGCCTGTTGCACCTTGCGTCTGGGTTCATGTGCAAATGTACGAGTTCATTTTAATGTTTGCGAAATTCATGTTATATTGATTTGATCAGTCTCGATCAGCGGCAATCGCCTCATCAGGGCCCTGGCATGGCTCAATACGTGGTCTGAGACGTAAATTTAGCTTTGTTTTTACCTTTGATACAACGAGAATCCTGTACAAGGTGGAAGAAAGTAGTGGCACGCGGGGATCCAAAGCCGAGATCTAATGCAGGCGCGAGAGCTGATCTGTTTTTTTGTGTCTGTTCCATCGTCTGGATTGTTGGAACATGCAAGCTGAAGAAGGCACCAGTGCACAATTGCTGTTTGTGCGATGTGCTCTGTAGCATATGATTTACGTGCTTTGAGCCCTGCACTCCCAGTTCTGGTTATGACCACGTCACGCAGCGTTACGCCCAGGAATTACAGTGAACTGGACAGGCTGTGTTGGTTTGTGGAAGCTTGTCGCTGCGTATTGGTGTTTCTGTAGATTCCCATAGAACCCCCTGCAGCGATACAAAAGGGCAGAGTGCTGTGAGTACCTCAAAAATGGCGATCAATTTCCACAAAAATCTGCGATTTTGACCCTTTGGAGTCCATTAATTGGGGTATGATAACTAGGAGGAGAGCCCAACAATTGATGGTCTCGAATTTCCCGTAGTCTCAGGCCCTGAGGGCCATTCCATTCATCGTGATTGGCAATCAAGCAATCACGCAATCACGACATTAATTTAACGTCGTTCTGCAAGTTGGAGCACAAGATTAATTTTAAGTCGATTGTTTATTTCCTTAATGAGCATGACCATTTTTTAGGAAACGTAATATAAACAACCAACCACAAGGGAGCAGGCACCATTTATTGACGTGATTGCGTGATTGCGTGATTGCCAATCACGATGAATGGAATGGCCCTCAGAACAGCTTATCATCAGCTCTCCGCAGCCAGATGCAAGCCAGATGCAGTACACTCTATCATCGTAGGCAAAATCCAAGACGCCCTGTACCTCGCAGTTTTTGGGGCGCGATATAATACAGTACCGAGATGCGCACTGCTTGCCGTACATTTTTCAATATTGCCACGGAAAGAGGTAGGACAGGGTACTCTATGTGTTCACCAGAGAAATCATGGGGCGCTGCAGCAGGCCAACACGTAGAGGAAAGTGTTGCTGAGAGATCTCCACCCACAAATGTACCCACAAATGTAGTACTGTACAGTATGGCTCTCATGAAAGATGCGAGGCTGCACTTGAAAATGTATAACAGAAGGAATTTGCTGTTTGAGGTTCAAAGACTCTGGCGGACGGGCTGAAGGGCACAACGGGAAGCGGGTTTCCGAACCGAGTGGTCTGCCTTGCGACGCAACGATTACAATGTGAAAACACTTCATACACGGGAGGGACAATGCCGGACAAATGGGCCTTATATCGCACAACCACAATGCACGCATGAAGGGTCATAGTGTAGAAACTACCTAGGGTAATGCGCAATACTGTAGACCCTTGCATGGTGCTAATATGTGTTTTAAGCCTAAATGAGCTCGTTAAAGGCCTTAAACTGGAGACTAGGGGCTTACCGCGCTGCTGCAATCTCCGAAAATTAGACTGCAGTCCATAAGCATGCATGCCATTGCCACGTAGGCACAAAGCCTGCCAGCCATTCATACAATGTAGCACTTCCAAGATCTCTTCCCGCGCCTCTTCCTGTTTACAGGGTTCGTCTACGGGTCGACCGTACTGCATCCAGGCCCAACGAGGGTATTTTGGACTCTCTCACGCAACATATTTTCACAGCTCCACTGCGACAGTGGCGCCGCAAGCTGTATCCCTGTGAAAGGTAGACCAGCAGCAGGTACGGTGCAGTGAAACCGCTGCCTGCGGGATTCTTTTCGCGCTCAGAACGTGTCGTTGTTGAGTCGGCAACGAGTCGTTGCCAACGACCCCTCCTGACACAAACATGCTGCACTGCACTGCACAGCACGGCATCTCTGCCTCAGCACCCAGTACTGTAAGTGGTTGAGCAGATACACCGCACGGTTGCAACACACAAATGTACACAAAGCAGCGGAGCTGTGCCTCCCTTGAAAGGATACCTTTCCCGCTGGATGCGGGCTTCATAGGTGGCATGAACTTGCTGTATATTAGTAGATGCATATTCGAATTTGAGATGAGATATTTCGCAACAAGGTTTTGTTGCAGATAAGCAATTCAACTTACAGGCGCAGATACGCCAGTAATAGTTGAGAATGATCTAAGTTTAGAGATAAAAATGATGAGTGCCCCTCCTCGTCGGGCATTCTTTCCATGCTATTTTCATTGGCACTGGCACGTGCTTGGAATTCGGACCAAGAGTACTGTAACATGGGATGCACTTGCCTGGTGCCAGGGTGCCAGGTATTCTCAAGCGAACTAGCAAACCTAGCAAACGCAGAGGTACTATGTCCTTCCCCCCTCCTCGCGCTTCCCTCCCTCCCGCCAATCAACCCCTCTGGTAATCCCGCGCCGTTTCCAATGTAGTGCAGTATTGTACATACCGTATGTAGGGTATACTGTATATATAGCCAACTTGGGTAGAGGTTAAGTGCAGTAGGGCCCTCTACAACCGCCCCCCCCCCCCCCCCCCCTTCTCCACGTGAGCAGGTCAGCAGTGTCCTTGTACCACTTGAGAGTCACTCTACCACGATGAAGGCAGCGCTCCTCCTTTTCCTCCTTGCACTGGCTCCATCCGCGGTGCTCTGCATGATCTGGGAGCAGACGATAATCGCCAATCATGACGAGGCGGGCGTGCCGACAGTGAGCCGGCAGCAGCGGATGGTGGAGCCGTGCGGCGACAACTGCGAGTTCCGTCTGTGCAACACGGACGGGGAGAACGTGGAGTTGCTGAGGCAGTCGTCGTTCACGATCCTCAACGCGCCGCGGATCGTGACCAATCCGTTCATCTGCAAGGCGGCGGAGGGGGTAGGGGTGGGTCTGGTGCTGCGAGGCGGCGAGGCGTCGGTGGTGCAGGGGTCCAAGCTGGTGCGGATCTCGCGTTGGCGACCGCGCGGGCTGCGGAGGCCGTTCGGGGCGCGGTTCATCCAGCCGCTGCGGATCCCGTTCCTGGAGCGGTCCGGGATCGGGCGGTTGGCGGCGTCCGTCAATCAGTGGTCCGTGCTGCACGACCGGTGTATGGTGCTGCCCATCCGGAGGTACCAGCGGCTGGAGCGCAACGGGGACTTGGCCGAGGTGGTGAACACGACGCGGCGCGACGCGTGCGTGAGCTTCCGCACGACGGCGCCCGCGATCCAGGTGAACCTGCTGTGGGACACGGCGGACGACCTGGATTTGGAGATCACGGAGCCGGACGGGGAGGTGCTGACGTTCCGCAACCGGCGGTCGGAGTCCGGAAAGCTCAACGCGGATAACAATGTGGGCAAGTGCGAGGCGATGGTGATCGGCGGAAGGGAGAACGTGCTCTACTTTCCCGACGCGCCCATCGAGAACGGGCGGTACTTTGTGCGGGTGAGGCACTTCCGTAAGTGCCGGCCCGGGGACGTCAAGTACGTGCTGCGCGTGGTGATCAACGGCAGGGTGCGCAGGATCAAGACCGGCGTAACGGCCGAGGCCGGGATGCGGCTCGTGGACAGCGTGGCGTTCTCGTGGCCGTAGGGCGCGGAGGGGAGGGGGTAGACGGAGGGGGCGGTGTGGTGTTGGGGGATAGTGGATGCGGTTGCGGCGGCAGATTGTAGTGGTGCGGGACGTAAAAGGGTGCGGGCGAGACGGTGTAAACTTTTTAGGCCTCTCGAGGTGTAGTGTTGTAGCCCGTTTGTGTTTTTTCTTTTTTAAAGGTGGCGTGTCTCCTGCGACGGTTTTGCGTGCGTGTTGGACATACTGTTACTGTACTGTTACTGTAGGAGCGATGCGACAGTACGACAGTAGAAACGATGTCGCGGGGGGAGGGGCGGGGCAGCGATGGCAAGCGAGGGACGGGGAAAGCTGAGAATAGAAGGCGGGGCGTCGTCGCGGGACGCAGTTTCCGGCAGCGATAGCACAAGCGGCGTCCAGCCCGCGGCGGGCAGCGCGGCGCGAGCGGACGCGGCTCGCTCGGGGGGCGGGCGTCCAGAGCAGTGCGGCTGTAGATATACTGTATTACAGTATATATACAGAGCAGTGCGGCTGTAGATATACTGTAATACAGTATACTGTACTGTAATACAGTATATCTACAGCCGCACTGCTCTGTCCGCGATTTCATTAAATCATGTTTTTGCGCGCAATTGCGCGCAAAAACTGCCAGATAATGCTGCAAAATGAAAAAATCACCACTTCGGCCTTCTTCAGGCGACCCACCGATAATCGCGATCAACCATCGAAATCGAGATCCCCCATGCCTTCCTAGGGTCCCTGTAGCCCATCTCCATGCAGTGTCTCCCATTGTCTAAAGTCGTTTCTTAAAGTCGTTTCTTCATGAAGAATCATCAAGTTTCTCAGTTTCTGCATGAATAAACAAGCAAAAAGCAAAAATGAAAAAACAACCCGAAATCGCGGTCACGCCGCATTTATATAATATATACAGTAACTGTATATATTATATAAATGCGGCGTGCGCAGCTTGGCGCCCATGTAACTTACAGTATGCGCGTGGGGGCGGGCGCCCTTGGCGCGGTAGTCGTGTACCCTTAACGGTACCGTACGCGCGCGGGTGCCGTGCGTGCAGGGAGGGAGCGTGAAACGCGTGAAACAAGCGACAGCGAGTGCGCCGCGTCCTCGCGCACACGTGTCACGGTCACGGCGGAAGGGGCGTCTGCAACTTTGCCTGCGCGTCGCGCAGCGGGCGCGCCCGGCGGCCGCCGACACCGCGCTTCGCATACCCGCTTCGCTCAGCCAGGTCGGGGCGCCATTCGCTGCGCGCCAAGTGGCGCCGCCATCGCGGTCGCCCCCCGCGCGTACAGTACAACGCCCCCGCGCCACCGGCGATGAACTTTACGTGTCGCCGCGCAAACGCAAGCCCGCGCTGCGCCATACGCGCTGCCTGTATGCGCCGCCCCGCCATTGGCTCGGCGCGCCCCACGGCGCCCCGCTTCCTCGCCCGAGCGCGCCCACGTTGTCGCTCCGCCCCGCCCCTGTCATTCCCCCCCCCCCGCCGCGCCCACCGGATTCAAACGCCCCCCCGCGTGCCCTGCGCGGGGCAGCGCTATCCACCCCCCCCCCCGCTCCGCATCCGCACCCAGCACCGCTCACCCGCGTCCCACGCATTTAACTAGCCCCCCGGGGGCGCGGGGGTCCCGTGCGTGCAGACGGTAGACGCCAATTGCTTCACCCGTGCGCCACCCCCGCTGCCACCCCCGACCGACCCACTCCACACCCGCACCCGCACCCGCACCCCCTCCCCCACGCCGCCATGTGCGCCGCGCTCGCGCTCGTCCTGGCGCTGGCGCTCGCCCCCCTCGCCGCGGCCCACTCGATCATGGTGCTGCCGCAGGTCCGCGGCACGCTGAGGCACTTCAAGTTCAACCGCAACGTCCCCGAGGTCAACGCCTCGGCCCCGGCCGACTTCCACTCGCACTTCCCGTCCGGCGAAAAGTGCACCGTCCCCGGCTGCGGCCTGCGCTCGCAGGAGCGCGCGGCCGGCCCCGCCGGATGGACCCCGTTCACCCCGCTCGACCCCTCCTTCCGCTGGCGCTACGGCGTGTGCGGCGACCTCAAGGACACGCATGACCACCTCCGCGGCGGCGTCTTCTACAACCACGCCCAGATCGTCGCCGAGTACCCGCACGCCGGCGTCGTCTCCGTACAGATCAACGTCATCGCACACCACAACGGCTTCATGGAGATGCACGTCTGCGACGTCGCCCGCTGCGGCGGCGAGATCTCGGAGGGCTGCTTCCGCCAAGGCTTCTGCTACCCGCTGCTACGCGCCCGCAACCCCAAGTGCGACGCCGGTACGAGCAAGCGCTGTGCTCCGATCGATCGCAACTACCCCGGCCGCTGGTACTTCCCGTGCTCCACCAAGCCGCGCGGCGAGAGCATGGAGTCCTTCGGCGGCCCGTCCGAGGAGACCATTCTCTACCGCCTCCCGGAGAACCTCGACTGCGAGCACTGCGTGCTACAGTGGTTCTGGACCGCCGCCAACAACTGCAACCCGCGCGGCGTCGTCGAGTTCTTCGACGGCCCGGACGCCCCGCGCACTTGGGACAAGTGCCGGGGCCAGGCAGGCGCGCGTGGCGGCGTCACTAGGGTCCAGCAGCAGTGCGGACGCCGCCGTAGCGATGGCCGCATGCGCTTCCCGGAAGAGTATGTGTCGTGCGCGGATATCGCCATCAGTTCGCCCAGTGGCGGCAACCGCTCGAGCCCGCGCTCCGCCACCGCCCCTACCCCGAGCAGCAGCAACGCCCCCGAGCCGCGCCCGAGCAAGTCGCGCAACCCGCGTCCTAGCAACACCAGAACGCCTACGCCGCGCCCGAGCAAGTCCCGCATGCCCCGTCCCAGCAAGAGCAGATCGCCTACGCCGCGCCCTAGCCGCACGCCCGAACCGTCCATGCCGCCCTCGCCGGAACCTTCCATGATGGAGACGCCGGAAGAGTCGGCTATGCCGTCGATGGAGGCCAGCATGGAAGGCAGTCCGGAGTGGTCTATGGACGAGTATGAATCTATGGAGCCGTCGGTGGAGCCGTCAGCCTCTCCCGACGTTGACGAGCGCTTCGGAGAGTCGGCGCCTTCGCGGCGCAAAGGAGTGATCAGCGACATCGTGCTGATCGCAGACGGCGAGGAGGTGCGTTCGATTAACGACGGCGACGAGATCGATGTGTCATCGTACCGCCGATTTACGTTGGAGGCCAAGGTGAAACGGGTTGTGCGGTGGGTAGAATTTCTAATTGACGGCGAGTTGATGCAGCGTGAGTATCACGTGCCGTACATTTTGACGGGCAACAGGGGAAGGCGGCTCAAGTACTGGAGGGACGCACCCCTGAACCGAGAGATTGTGCTCACCACTCGCACAAACCGAGTCGTCGACGAGACACGGATTACGTTTGTCAAGCGATAAGCAGGGGCATGCACATTGTGATTCCATGCGCTGCCTCAGTGTACTGTACATAGATGTTTTGTTTGGGAGGCCGGGGAGCGACTTGACGCTCAACATAGATACCTCGTTGTTTAACTAGTCTAACCTTGTTTATTTAACACTCGGTAAAATTTTTATCTTTCCGTCTGCTGCTCTTGCGTTTTGCTGTGCCTTTTGAAAGGCAGGGGGGTAGTAGTCGACGTAAACTTTTTGTCACGTTTCTGTTGTTAGTCCGCATGCATGAGTGGCGGCATTCACCGATACGCGTGCCTTCAAATCTGCGGGCGAAGCGTAGCTTGACGATTCTGTATTACCGCCACGCATGCCGCCCGTCTCCCGCGACCCGGCCGCCGTCTCGGTACCCCCGCGCCCACAACGCGGACCTGTCGCCAATCGCGCGCACGGAGCCAAACGGGCGGGGCATGTCCCGCCCCCCTCCGCGCGGAGATACGGCGGAGATACGGGGCGTCCGATCCGCCGTGTCGGTGCGGCGGTGGCGGGCGGCGATTGGCGATTACGCAACGCGCATCCGCCGCCAGCGTGTCCGAAACGGCCAACGGGGGCGTGCGCCCGGCTGACAGGCTGCGCAGCGTGCGAAGGTGATCGCGTGCAAATTCCCCGTCTCCCGTCTCCGCCGCCCCCCGCGTCATGCGCCGTCGCTGTAAGACCTTCAAGCTGCGAGCGCCCGGCCAATGGACGGCCGGGCTTGGCGCGACGTCAGACTGTGAAGATGCAGAGGCTGACCAATGAACGAAAAGGGAGCGTGGAAATAAATGGTGAGAGAGACGTGGACACGTGTCTCTCCACACAAGCAACCACGGTCCAGTGCAACTTTGCAAATTCAATTTACATGTAATTTACATACCGTAACCGGTTACACACAACAAACCTTGAACGCCGTGCGACGCTGACAAACTGTCCACTTTGTTTATGATAGATCGCGATCGCAAGGAGCATAGCGGTTGGTAGTGCAGCGCAACTCTTCATCAGCTCTTCATCAGCTCTTCAGGGAATTGCCATAGGCAGTCCCAATCAAGTCTAGATGTGTGTATTTTGGCTGGCTGTGATAAAACAGGCCCAAGTTATACAAAACTTGTTCCACTTCCAAACGTAAATCTGGAGTAGGGTGATAAAGAAAGGAAAAAGGTGCGGAAATTGCAGAGAATGAGAGCGAAAATATGAACGAGTGAAAGCGACCTGAGGGGGACAAATGGGAGGGCGAGAAACACAAGGGAGGAGAGCAGAAAGTCAAGAAAGAGCAAGAAAAGAAGTCGCAATCACTTCGGCATCATGTTGAAATCTAGACTAAATCAGTAACGTACATTCAACAAGAGATCAATAGAGGAATGTGTTGTCGTGGGGGCTCCATCACCACAATGCATTCCTTTCCGTTACTGATTTCTGCGCTCCTCCCCGTCACACGAGCCGTGCTCTCACAAGCACTGAATATGCTGGTGACACGACGCTGTCAATGGTGATACGTCGAATCACCAGCATACTAGCTACATGTCGCGGACGCACATGGCATGATTTGGAACTAACCATTTTGCGGGGCATTGTCTTCTTCGTGTCACGACGATATCCCGGCTTACTCACACGCTGTTACGTTTCGAGATGTGAGGGTAAAGGAAGGGGTTGACTTTCGGCATTGGACTTGAACTGCCTGGCCTCACCATGTATCGAAGCAATGAACTGTTCAATAGAGTTTACTGTTCTACCCTCGTCCTACTCTCATCGCCTCAAAGTCTAAGCGCTCCGAGGCGTTAGGGAGAATTAGAAGAGTGTAAACGTTTTCAAGCCGCCACGCTTCATACAGTTTACGCACGCAACGTGAGCATGCCTGTGAATGGGATGTGAAACGTGTCCACGTGCGACCAGACGGGCGCCGGAAGCGTAGAAATGTTGCAAAATGAACTCGGAATTTCGGCCATCTCCCGCTATCTCCCTTCATCTCCCCACATCTCCCCATCTCCCCTCTCTCCGGCTTGTTTCCATTGGATTTTGTGATCCACTGACTGTCGGAGGGGCCGACAGTCACCCGAATACGAAGAGCGGCCTCGCACGGAGAGTGAAAATGCGAATATTGCGAAACCTCCAACGACGGGAGAGACATTGAGGAATTGAGATATCGTGGTTGATTATCAAGTTGGCGGGAGTTTCGAGATGATTGGAGTGACGAACGTTGTCGTTCTCGTTCATCTTGTCGCTTCCCTTGCACCTCCTTCTATGGTCCTGTCGAGAATGCGTACGGCGGTGAGTATCGCTAGCAGCGACACAGACAGGCTCAAGGCTGTGAGGGGCATCCGTGTGTCCCTGCGGCGACAAATGCCTCCACAGCGCTGACGGGGAAATTGAGGAGCTTTTCGTTCAATCTCGATTCAAGACTTTTACGCGCGACGCATCGTATCTAACCAGCACATCTGCAGCGTGTTCCATCCGGTAGGGTAAGGGCTCGTGCGTTGCGCAAGTGGTTCAAGGCAGTTTCCATCTTCCCGCTGAAGGTGCGTGTCGACTTGTGCATTTGTTGCGTCACCACACACCAGCACTGAAGTCGGGACGCTATAGAAAACTAGAAAACATGTGGAATTGAATTCGTACAGACGCGAAGTGTGTTCCTTGATTTGAATGCACGGCGACCGGACGTAGTGGCGAAGCCCAACGCCACAGCTGACAATCGCACCGACGAGCCTACGGCAGGGCTATGGAGCGGGACGGTACATTGAATGCATTCTGTGAATGCAGAAGGGTTCGCCTCCACAACGAGGAAATGCAGGCAGCTGACAATACCCGATGCTGGCAGGAGATACAGACCGATCTCCCAACTTTGTCAGCGAAGTTTAGACTTCGAACTTCACAGGGAAGGATATAACCCGTACATTGTTCATCGTGTTGGTCCGCACCGCCCAACTCCCTCCCAACTCCCTCCCAATTCCCCCCTGACTCTCCCCCCTCCTCCCCTCCAACCCCATCCCTCACCGCCATGCACTCCGCCATGCACTCCGCCATACACGCCTCGTTCGCGCTCCTCCTCGCGCTGTCTCTCGCCCCCCTCACCGCGGCCCACGCTCTCATGGTGCTGCCGCAGGTCCGCGGCACGCTGAGGCACTTCAAGTTCAACCAAAACGTGCCTGAGGTCAACTCGTCCGCCCCCGCCGACTTTCTCTCGCACTTCCCGTCGGGCGACAAGTGCATCAAGCCTGGCTGTGGCGTGCGTTCGCAGGAGCGAGAGGCCGGCCCCGCCGGTTGGACGCCGTTTACCCCGTTGGAGCCCTCCTTCCGCTGGCGTTACGGCGTGTGCGGCGACCTCAAGAAGAAACCGGACCACCTCCGCGGCGGCGTTTTCTACAACCACGCACAGGTCGTCGCCGAGTACCCGCAGGCCGGCGTGGTCTCCGTACAGATCAACGTCCTCGCCCACCACAACGGCTTCATGGAGTTGCACGTGTGTGACGTAGCCCGGTGCGGCGGCGAGATCTCGGAGGATTGCTTCAGGGCTGGTCATTGCTACCCGCTGTCTCGCGCTCGCAACCCCAAGTGCGATGCGGGCACAAGCAAGCGCTGCGCCCCGGTCGACCGCACCTACCCGGGGCGCTGGTACTTCCCATGCTCGACAAGGCGCCACGGCAAAGGCTTGCAGTCGTTCGGCGGTCCATCCGAGGAGACCATTCTCTATCGTCTCCCGGAAGGCCTCGCATGCGAACACTGCGTGCTACAGTGGTTCTGGAGTGCCGCCAACGCGTGCAACCCGCGCGGCGTCATCGAGTTTTTCGACGGCCCGGACGCCCCGCGCACATGGGGCATGTGCCCAGGCCAAGCAGGCGCACTTGGCGGCGTGACAAGGGTGCAACAGCAGTGCGGCCGGGGTCGCGATGGGCTCCAGCGCTTTCCGGAAGAATACGTGTCGTGTGCGGATATCACAATCCTTCCGCGCAATGGTGGAAGCGGCTCACGCCCGCGCCGCACCCCGGCCCCCGCATCGCCCACACCCACACCTTCCCCGCGCAATATCAAGATCCCCTCGCCGCGGCCGAGCAAGAGCAAGTCGCCCAGGCCGCGCCCCAACCACACGCCGGTTTCCGCTACGGATCTGTTTCCGTTGGAAACGCCCGAAGCTTCGATGGCGCCGTCAGTGGAGCCGTCAGCTTCTCCCGACGTTGACAAGCACTTCGGAGAGTCGGCGCCTTCGCGGCGCAAAGGAGTGATCAGCGACATCGTGCTGATCGCAGACGGCGAGGAGGTGCGTTCCGTTAACGACGGCGACCAGATCGATGTGTCATCGTACCATCGGTTTACGTTGGAGGCCAAGGTGAAACGGGCTGTGCCGTGGGTGGAATTCCTAGTTGACGGCGAATGGATGCGGCGCGAGTATCACGTGCCGTACATTTTGACGGGCAACAGGGGAAGGCGGCTCAAGTACTGGAGGGACGCGCCCCTGAATCGGGAGATTGTGCTCACCACTCGCACGAATCGAGCGGTCGACAAGACGCGGATCACGCTCGTCAAGCGATAAGTGGGGGCATCCACATTGTGATTCCGGGCGCTGCCTCAGTGTACATATATGTTTTTTGGGAGGCAGGGGAGCGACTTGACGCCCAGGACATTAGAGACTTGGTAGTTTCTGAGTTTACTTAGCATTGTTTATTTATTATTGTTAAAACACTAAAGATAACATTCTTCTTTCTTTCTCTGTCACTACTGCTACGCTGTGCTTTTCGCAAAGCAGGCGGCTATGATTGTGAATATAAACGTTTTTCATGTTTTTGTTGTTACGATGCGAGCATGAGTCGTTGCATTCACCGATACCTGCAACTTCACCTCCATGCAGGCGAAGCGTAGATGCTCACTCCTGTGTGACCGCATCATGCGCTCATCTCACGCGACCCTACCCATCATGCATCCCTCTTTTCACCTGGTAGCCACGCCGACCTGTACTACCCCGTATCTTACGCCACAGCTGTGCCAGAATGGCAGCCATGCACTTTCCGGAAAGCAAAGCACTCTCAGATGAAAAGTGGTGTGAATGGTGTGACTTG